AGGAAGGAAGGAAGGAAGGAAGGAAGGAAGGAAGGAAGGAAGGAAGGAAGGAAGGGAGGGCGGGAGGGAGGGTGGAAGGGCAGAGTCAGGGAGAGCTGGAGGAAGGGAAGGCAGGGAAGGATGTGCAAAAGAAGGAAGGATAAAGGGAAGGAGGAAGAAAGTGCAAATTAATAGAAAGAGAAAATCTTGCCACAATTCGTAGAGAAGATGTAAGAAAAAACATCTAGGGAATAAAGCTTGGTATCCAGGTTATACTTCTGTTTCTCTGATGGAAAGAATACCATATTAATCTCAGATATGATTGTTTTGTTTGAAATTCATTTAGGACTAGCATTCATGCTTTTTCCAAATCCCATACTATGTTTTAGGTGTCTAGGCAACACAATGCTATTCTAGTACTTGCAAAAATGAGCCTTGAGACCACAATAAACTCCTGCTTAGATTTGCTTCTAGATCACACAAGGGGATAGAAAGGTTCTGGGACCACTAAACAAAGAAGAAATGGTTATTAGTATATCTTCCTATTCCAGAGGTCACTGTGATGGTACTACTACTGCTGCTAATAATAACAGCAACAATAGAAAGCCAAATCATTGTGTGTATACAGTCTTTTAGGTTTGACAAAACACTAAACCAAACTGTGGAGTGATGAATTTCTGTCTCCATTTTGCAAATGACAGAACTGTGTTTCAGAGAGAATGAAGTAAAATGTCTTTCTCACCTTTAGATAAATTCCTCTGTCAAATCATAACAGGAAGAATAAAAACAACAGAACGAGAACCTTATTTATTGAACTCTTACTATGTTCTTACCATTGTGCTAACTGGGTTTGCATACATTAGTGAATTTAATTTAATTTTTTCGACACCATATTTTGAGGTAGCTATCAGTGTCATCTCACTTTTACTGACAGAGAACCGAGTTTGACTTGCTATGTTTCTTGCCCAAGGTATTTGAAGCAGGATTCAAGGTGAATCTGTCTGATCCCATACCTCAATTTTTGACGTTCTCGCTTGCTCCCACTTAACTTCCAAGCAGTATAGCTCATACCAGGGAATGACATTGGTTTGAAAAGAGACCTAAAGAACTTGGCAGCAAGTTCAGACCTACTCTATCCATAGGCGTAGGAGGCAGTGTAGCATCAGAGAAAATGGAAGGCAGTAGTAATTGTAAAATGAATTGTAGTTCTTGTGAATAGTTTTTATTATGGTTCTTCAAAAGGCTGAAAATAGTTTATTTTTATTCTAAATTTTTTTTTTTTGTTTTCCCCTCCCTGCCACCCCCAATACCATATGTTTGCTTATAATATTTTGGGCACAGACAAGGAGAA